GGACTTGAAAATAGTGTCGACAGTAAATAAGCAACAGCAGAAAGTCATAGAGGAACTCAGAGGGGAATTCTTTTCTACTAGCTCAGCTCAAATGTATGAATTAATAGTGTCGATAGTAAATAAGCAACAGCAGAAAGTTATAGAGGAACTCAGAGTGGAATTCTTTTTTGAAATAAAAAAAGAATTCTCAGTACTCACAGCATCTGAAGTAAAGAATCAACTACAGAAATATAGGGAGGAAACCCAATCTGAAAAAAACACTGCAGTAAAAGAATTTACAACTGCTTCTAAAGAAGACATTGACTTAAAGAATAGAGGAGGTTAGAAAAATGAAGGATTCCTTGAATGAGCAATACAGGAAAGAAATAGATCTCATGAAGCAGAGTCAAAGGGATATAGAGGAATTTAAAATCTCAATCACAAGCTTGCAGAACGGTTTAAGTGAAAGTGAAGACAGAGTTTCAGATCTTGAAGACGCTGGTGCAACTAGTGAAAAGGTAAGAAAGGATCTCTTAAAAACAACAAGGATGCAGTAAAAAATTATCTGTCACCTGCAAGATGATGCCAAGATGAACAATGTGAGAATAATAGGAATCAATGAGAAAGAAGGAGTCAATACAAATGACATTAAAAAAATATGAGCAGAAGTAATAACAGAAAACTTCCCAAGTAGGAGGAAACAATCTGACATTCAGGTAACCAAAGCATACAGAACGCCAAGTTACCTCAACCCAATGAAAAACACACCGAGACATATAATAGTCAAGATCCCAGAAATTCTGTACAAGAATAATCTACTGAAAGCCACTAGAGAAAAGAAGTACATCACATTGAAAGGAAAACCCATCAGCATTACGACTGACTTCTCTTCACAAACCATGCAGTCAAGAAGAGCATGAATCAGATTACTTTAAGTCCTCTATGAAAACAAATTCCAGCCCAGATTACTATACCCTTCAAAACTCTCTTTCAAGTTTGATAGAGAACTGAAATACTTCGTGACAAAGAACAGATAAAGAATTTCATGATGACAAAGCCAACCCTACACAGGCTCCTGAAAGATGTTCTAGAGAGGGACCAAAATGATCAGAACTCCACAAATGAGATCAGAAGCAACCAACTAAATAGGGTGAGCAATTAAACACAGGAGAAAAAGGAGTAAACGACAACAGGTAAATAACATGGCAACCGTAAGTCAATACA